TTACCCACTCAGGCACTCATTAGTCAGGTAATTCACATAAACCTTTTTTTTTCCTGAAATCAAACTTGACTAATATAAAAACTGCTATATGTAGCTGGCAAGTACTTCTAAATCTTCTGTCTGGTTCACTTTGACATAACACATTTTAATTTTCACAAAATGATTATTTCGGGGTTGTCCTCTAATTTAAGAACACCCCTTCCCCGACTAAAACCTCATGGGAAGGGGGGCATTCCGGTCCGTCCTTCACGCCCTACCGAGGTCACCAGTTGCCCCCCACGAGCGGCTCTCCAGCACAGCCATGGCCCCAGAAGCACAAGGACTTAATGCAGAACCCAGCAGCTTGGAGCAGAAAAGTGAACGGACTATGCATTGATCCAGGCCATCAAGTCTGCCGGAGGGGAAAGGGTGTTTCCCCATTCGCCCTCTCCTCTCTGGAAAGAAAGATGGCGGCCACATGGGAGCCTTGTGGACAGCAGGTATGAGCCGGGGGAGTGGGGGCGACTAAAACCTCATGGGTCGGGGGGCGTTCCGGTCCGTCCTTCACACCCTATCGAGGTCACAAGTCGCCCCCCGCGAGCGGCTCTCCAGCACGGCCATGGCCCCAGAAGCACAAGGACTTAATGCAGAACCCAGCAGCTTGGAGCAGAAAAGTGAACGGACTATGCGTTGATCCAGCCCATCAAGTCTGCCGGAGGGGAAAGGGTGTTGCCCCATTCGCCCTCTCCTCTCTGGAAAGAAAGATGGCGGCCACATGGGAGCCTTGTGGACAGCAGGTATGAGCCGGGAGTGTGGGGGCGACTAAAACCTCATGGGAAGGGGGGCGTTTCGCTCCGCCCTTCACGCCCTACCGAGGCCACCAGTTGCCCCCCACGAGCGGCTCTCCAGCACGGCCACGACTCCAGAACACAGAAACCAATTTCTTAACTATCTGACTTTCAGTAGAAATACTTCCAGGGTCAATAGGTAAAATAGCAGAAATTCAAAACCAACATTTAATTCTTGAACCCAGCTGTAGAAAGCAAATCACTTCACAATGCTTTTTCAGCATGTCTGATTTGGGGGGGGGGGTAAACTCTAAATAATAGTGGTGAATCTTTTATTGAAACAATCTAATCAAAGCGGATAGAGTGTTAACTAGAATTCATCTGCCTCACAGGGATGGGGAGGGGTGGGGGGTGGGGTTTTATTGGGGTTCTTCATGGGAAAAAATAAGTATTGGTAAAGGGAAATGTGTTTGATATTTGCATGACTGAGACATAAACCTGAAAGCTTTGTAACCTTTCCCACAGTGATTCAATAAATAAAAAAAAAAAAAAGAACACCCCTTCCCTTATTATTCCTAAGTACTGAATTTTGTTTCTGGGCCACACCCATTTTGGGCAGGGGTACACCCAGCCCAGTGCCAGAGGTTCCTCTGGCAGTGCCTGGGGGACCAACTAAGTCATGCTGGGGACTAAACCTCGATGGATGCATTCTAAGCACGTGTCCAAGCCTGTTGTGCAACTCCTCAGGGCAAATTTTTGTCTTTTTTCTAAAAATAATCTCCCCAGTGCTGTCAATTTATATTGTATTACCGTGAAAGACAATTTTATTTGACTATCACATTTTATGTAACCTACTACCCTGCCATCTTTTTCGTGCTCTCCACTTCATTTGTGTTTAAAACCACTAGGAAAATGTTGGGAATTGATGATCATAACAGTCTTCTTGTCTAACTCCTTGTTCTAATTCATCAAGTGGCTAGTTAAGTTTGCTCAGATGCTTTTTATCAAGTCCATTTTCCTTGTATATCTCTTTTTAACTTTTTATTTACTGGGGAAGGGGATTGGCCACACAAAGGAGTGCTGAGGGGGGCAATTTTCGGCTTCAGCCATCACATTTGGTGCTAGGGATTCAAACCAGGGTTTTTGGGATACAAGACAAGTGCCTTAATTGTTGTACTATCTCCCCACTGTATTTCTCTTTTAATATATGGTTTTACAGCATACAGTATACCCTTAATAATACAATTTGCATAAATGACTGCTGAAAATTATCAAAGGTCCTTTTAGCAATACTTATCTGACCACATAATTTCCTTCTTTTATTTGCTGATATGAATTACAATAGCCTTTAAATTAAGTCTCCTATAAATTCCTTAAGTAAATCCTACTTGGACAGTGGTATAATTACTAGATAATTTGCTGAACTGAACATATTAATACTGTACTTATAATTTTTATATCTGCATTCACAAATATGATGGTCTAATTCCCCAAACATCCTTCTGGCACTACTTATGAGATTTTTGGTACTAATGTAGAAACTATAAAGTGAAGGGCTTTTCAGCTATTCTTAAAATGCTAAAATTGAAAAAAAATACATACACACAAAATAGGGCGATCTGTTTAAAAACAATACACAGCATTTTATTCAGTATTTTATCAGTTGTAAACATATTATATATAATTTGATTGTAAATCTACCTCTCAATGCTTTAAGAGTAGACCTTTAGGGCTAGATAGAGCAGCAGATAGGGTGCTTGCCTTGTATGCATGCAGCCCGGATTCAATCAAAAATACTAGTATTGGGGCTGGAGCGATAGCACAGTGGGTAGGGCATTTGCCTTGCACGCGGGTGACCTGAGTTCAATGTCCAGCACCCCATATGGTCCCCCTAGCACAGCCAGTAGTAATTCCTGAGTGCAAAGCCAGGAGTAACCCCTGAGCATTGCTGGGTGTGAACCAAAAAGGAAAAAAAAATACTAGTATGATCCCTTGTGCCCTGCCAGGAGTAATCCAGAGCCAGGAGTCAGCCCTGAGCACTGCCAAATATGGATCCCCAAAACAAACTCCCCAAAGGGTCACGGTCCTCCCGTTTGTTATTCATCAATTTGCTTGAGCGGGCCCAGTAACGTCTCCATCGTGAGACTTGTTACTTTGTTTGGCATACTGAATATGTCACGGGTAGCTTGCCAGGCTTTGCCATGCGTAAAGGATTTTAAAAAGCTTGGTAGTGGAGACGGTAAGGGTTAGACTACTCCGACGGTGCTTAGGACTTAACCCCTGGCTCTATCTATACTTAGGGATCACTTCTGGTGGGCTCAGGGGACTTTATGGGGTGACGGTGATCAAATCCAAGTCAGTTACATGGAAGGTAAGTGCCCTACCTGCTGTATAGTAGCTCCAGTCCCATGTATTCTTTTAAAAGAATTATATTGCTAATATAACTGGCTACTGATTAAACAGTTTCTAACAAGAGAACAGTAACACTAGTGCTCAAGTACTAATCTGAACAAAACCTTAAAAACTGGGAAAAACAAATTGATTTGAACAAAGGCAAAACAAACATAATAAAGCAAAAGTTTAATTCAGTCATCATTGTGAGTAGTACTAAGAAACAAAATAGTGGTTGTGGGAGGGAGGACGCCCAGAGAGATAGTATGATATATGGTAGTATGATATACGGGGCACCTGCCTTGCACACAACCAACCAGGTTTGAGTCTTAGCATCCCATATGGTTCCCTGACATGGCCAGGAGTGACCACTGAGTGCAGAGTCAGTACTAAGTCCTGAGCACGGCCAGGTGCACCCAGAAATCCCCAAACAAAACAAAACAAAAGAAGAAGAAAAGACAATGAAACTAAATGGTCAATATGATTAAGAAACTTAGAAAATACTATCAAGCCTTATAAATTCTTAAACTAGGGCTGAATAGATAGTACAGAGGTTAAGATAATCACCTTACATGATGCCAGGCTGGAGTTTTGATCCTGAGAATCACTTACACTCCCCTAAGCACCACCAAGAGTGATCTCTGAGCACAGAAGCGAGAGCACAAAACCAAAAGGATAGAATCACACCTGAAGCACCACCAGGTGTGGTGTCCCCAAAACAAACAAAATTCTTAAACCAGCAACCAGAGAATATGCCACACAAACAACTCAAAGTCAATTGTTTCGCAGGATAACCAATAGCAAGGCATCTTAAAAATCGGCATTATTTTTTTCACTCGGTATTTTGTATAAATCACCAAATGACTAGAAATCAACGGACTGTGTGGCAGTCAAGCAATATGATGAGTTTTACAGTGTCTTAGTACAAAGTGATTATGATACGCTCTACAGTTGCAACAATAAAATTATCTTGCATTAGCAATTCTTATCTAAAAGCATTCTGATAGAAATGAAAAGATTTTCAGTTAAGCATGTGCTATTTATTTATGGTACTGCTGCTGGAAATCTATTCTTACCTATTTTTTACCAGCTACAGCAAAATATTGTGGAGAGAGGGGAGAGATACAAGTCAGTCCTTGGCAATAACAAAAAAGAAATTGTTTTAGTAAAAAAAAGAAAGCAATAGGCATGCACAAAGTTCAGTCTCCAGCAAGCAAACACAGACACAGACAGACAGACACACACACACACACACACAGAGCCGATGGATACTAGTATCAGTAGTTCAAAGTTCCATGACACATGAAACAGTACATAGCTTCTTGATCAATCAGCATCCCCATACTTTAGGCATTATTTTATCATAACGATAATCAAACAATATACCTCCATAAGATTAATCACCTTAGTCTCTCTTTTGGAACGTAAGATTACATCTTCTATTTATAGATTCATAGAAAAATTCAGTGAGGCAGTATTCTAAGCAATCAAAATAATGAATGCCTGGCAGAGTAATTGCTTGACAAATACAAATATTGGGTATTATTCATGGTATATTCAAATTCCAAGTGAGAGAGGTGATTCTGCTTAAAGCAAGCATTACTGTTATCCTATGTCTGTGAATATGGTTTAAGAAAATTATTTTAATACTGAAAATGATTAACTTCATCCTCACATATACACCAAAGGGCAAATGATTACCCCCCCCCAAAAATTCAATCTTTCTATATTGCTGACTTATTTTATATGTACACAACATAGGAAAACAATCACATTCTAGAGGTAAGAAACCACCAAAGGAATAGCAGAGATTTTGAAATGAAAATGAGCTTTGTGACTTACTGACTGACTAAATCAGATCCCATCTTAGAGCCATCATCGGCCTCCTCTTCCATATCAGAGTCCATACCATTGTCACCTTATAAATGAAATAAACTATTGAAAGCATGCTTATAAAAGGTCAGAATAATTTCATCATTACACAAAAGTGTCACTTTAAAAGTGATGGACATTGAAGAAATTTACAGTTGCTGAATGATGACACTTTGGAGGTTGGGGAGATAGTTCAAAAGGCTGGAGTGCGTGTCTGATAGGCTCAACAATCCCTTACACTGCACATGGTTCCAATAAAGCATCTCTAGGCAGAGTCCTGGTGGCTTCTAAGTACTGCAAGGGGTGGGCTCTACCACTGGTAGGCCTGAGCAGCACTGCATAGCCAGACCAGGCCTGCCATAGGCAGGGCAAGCTTCAGTGGGAGTGGTACCCAAATTCCTGGGGCACTACTCAAGAGATCCCTGCCCAACAAAAATCAGATGAAGAATGATAACTTTTAGCTGCTTATACCATTTAAATAAGTTTTCTTAATCATCTATTAAACATTTCTCATTGCCCTCCATTTATCTATTTTTAACTATGTATTCCAACAAGAATGTGCATTTATTTTCTTACAGATTATCCACATATGTATATATGTATATATCTACTGCCAGAGCTAAAAATTCCTTTAAACTATTTCCAACTTTAAATTGAATGTTATCTCTGGTATTGTAAGTTGTTCCCAACCCCCTTCTTTCCTGATGCTAATGCTAAAATTCCTGTACATTTCTAAAAGAAGAAGAAGAAGAAGGGGGAAAAAAAAACCTCCATGAAAATCCAAAGTCTACAAGCACTACCACAAGAAGAATGATAATTCAGGAAGACAGACATATAAATGTTGACAAACTGTAGCAAATTCTAATGCTGCATCTAGTTTTTATCAGCAGTATGCAGTGGGTAACTAAGAGCATTACAAATATGAAGTAGAACTACAGAAGACTGTCTTCTCAAAAGTAAAAGAAAGAAAAAAGATTGGGTGGGAGGGTGACATCTGGCTGTGCTTGGGAGCAACTCCCAGCAGTGCTTAGGGGACCACATGATCCTGGAAATCCAACCTGAGCCTTCAACATGCAAAGCACGCACTCCAGTCCACTGAGCTATCACTCTGGCCTCAAAAGTGAATTTTTCTTTTGGCTTTTTGGGTCACACCCAGCGATGCTCAGGGGTTATTTCTGTCTCTGCACTCAGGAATTACTCCTGGCGATGCTTGGGGGACCATATGGGATGCCGGGGATCGAACCCAGGTCGGCCACGTGCAAGGCAAATGCCCTACCTGCTGTGCTATCGCTCCGGCCCTCAAAAGTGAATTTTTAAATAGTGCTTTGAATTAAAAATCTTCTCCCTTCTCTAGGAGTAGTAGAGGATGGGCTGCCATACCCAGTGGTGCTCAGGGGTATTTAGCGTAGAAGATCAAATACAAGGCTGCCTAAAAATGTCTTGCAAGTTCCCAAACACCTGAGTCACATCCCCTATCCTTCAGTAAACATTTTCATTTCACATTATTACCATGAAAAAACTTTTATTCTTACCTAAATATCTGATTTAGGAAAAACATTTTGATTTCCTTTTGTGAAGTAAATTTTATTTACAAGCTGTACTCTTCCGATGCTGGATTCAGAAAACATACATACAGCAAAAAAGTAATTATAAGGACTGGAGAGAGTACAGTGGGGAGGATGCTTGCCCTGTGGGCAGCCAAACCAGATTCAATTCCGGGAACTCCATATGGTCCCATGAGGACCACTGGAATGATCCCTGAGTGCATTTAATAGTAAGCTCTGAGTACTGCCAGTGTGGCCCAAAAACCAAAAATCAAACAACAAAACGTACTTGTGAAACACTATTCTTAAAAGCTATTCTGGTAGCTAAATTTTTCTCATTACAAATAGAAGCAAAAATATTCTTCAGTAATTACTCAATAATGCAATTCAAGCAATACTCAAGTAAGAAAAATACATACCAGAACTTATGCTAAATATAGTATTAACAGTTACCAGAAAGTAGAAATACATATTCTTACCCTCAAGAATCTTCAAGATTTTTTTTTCAGACAGGAGCTCTAACTGTTCCTGGCATAATTTCTTAATTTCTTCTACTGAACAGTTCTAAACAAAATAAAATTTTAAAATAAATTTTATATAATATGGCACCAATATAAACTAGAAAATAATCCAAAAATAAGGCAGCATAGCAATATTTTACAATAAAACTAAAAGTGATATTTTTAGGAGAAGAAAAAGCAGAAAATTGGTAATTAAAATGATTATGATTACAGAGACTTAACAGAAATATACAAAAGTCAGGTTTACTACTAAAAGAAAAAAGACTACAGTCTAAGTTTGGTAGTCTAAGTTTGGTACCTTTAATTAACAATGAAATAAACGTAATAAAGTGTAACTAAAGTGTAATAAAGTGTAACTAATCTCTATTTCAAGAATTGTAAAATTAAAATAGCATGTATTTCTCCAACTTTGAGAAATACAGCAAAAACTTGTCAAGTACTGCAAAATAAGCTATTACTAGTCATTGTTGTGCATGCTATTACAACACAGCACAGATCTTAAAAATACAGGGCTGGAGAGATAGCACAGCGGATAGGGCATTTGCCTTGCATGCGGCCGACCCGGGTTCGATTCCCAGCATCCCATATGGTCCCCTGTGCACCGCCAGGAGTAACTCCTGAGTGCAGAGCCAGGAGTAATCCCTGTGCATCGCCGGGTGTGACCCCCCAAAAAAAGCAGAAAAAAAATAGATAATAAAAATACCAAATAGAAGGACCAAAGAAACAGCACATTGGCTAGGGGATTTGTCTTGCACACAGACAACCTGGGTTCAATACCAGGAATCTATACGGTCCCCCAATGGGCACCACCAGGAGCAATTTCTGAGCACAGAGCCAGGAAAAGCCCTGAGCATTACCTGGTGTGACACCCCTCCCCAAAGTTCCAAAGAGAATTTTATCTCCAATTTAGTTACTAATACTGCTTACCTTTAATAGATTTTCAGATATTCAATGAATTCCTTACCTAAACATCAAAAACTTCCCCACTCTTTTCTTAGCTAATTTTTGAATATACAAGAGCATTTATGATTCCCCCCAAAATTCCATCTTTCCTTTTCTTACGCTGCTTTCACACTGAACATATCCAATTGCAATTTGCGTTATGAAGATAGTATGACAATGTATGTACTGACGTACCTTTAATACATCAGGAAGCATCTTCTGTAGCTTCTTCTCTCCTATGATACAGAAACACTGCTGAAGCATTTCTTTTTTGTCAGAAATATAGAAACTAACTGGCTTTAATGACACAGTCAGGTCCAGTCCACCTTCTTCAAGGTCACTGTGCTCTGCCAAGAATAACTCTTTTTCCAAAGTTGGTAAAAGATACTTGGTTTCCTAAAGTTAAAAGAATTTATAAAGAACAATGAAATACTACTACTTAAAATGTATGAAGATGTATATATGTCATATGCTTTTATTTAATAAATTCTTCTTCAATTAGACATTTTCATGGTCTGGATGCAGCTCCGTGGAAGAGCACCTGCCCACTTTAAATCATACATGAGGCCCTGGGGTCAATACCCAGCTCCATAAAAGCAACTAACAGATTGATCTAGAGTCATAGGAAAAAACATCAAATGTTAAACTGTTCCTGTACTCTTGTTTTCTTTGAGGAGGCCACACTGGCAGTACTTGGAGCTTACTCCTGCTCAGGGAGCACTCCTGACAGGGCCCAGGAAATTCTGTGGGGCGCTAGGCATCAGAGCAGCGTCAGCTATGCACAAGACAAGTTGCCTGTCTGCTGTACAATCTCTCCAGCCCCATTCAGTATTCTTTCTCTTACTTGCCAACTGCAATAAACTCAACAAACTATTGTATAATGAAGAGATACTATCTTAGGACACACAAAAATATTTCTATACTAAATAGTGCCCTACAATTTTAGAGTTCTGAAGAATTAGAATATTTCTAACCTAAAACATGCACTCAGGGCTTGTATATATGCATTATTCTCCTTAAATTTACATATGGTCAGGCTGGAGAGACAGTACAGGAGGCAGGGGTCTTGCCTTACATACAGTCAATCCATCTTCAATCCCTGGCACCCCATATAGTCCCCACAGCACCTCTAGGAGTGATCCCTGAGTGCAGAGTCAGGAGTAAGTCCTGAGCATCAGTGGGTGTGGCCCCAAAGCACCCCCAACAAAAAAATTTTATGTATGGAAATCTGATAGCAAAAATATCACAAATCTCTTATAAATCATACTCAAGAAAAACTGAAAGCCCTTCTTCTAGATCAGGCACAAGGCAAGGTTACCACTATTACCTCTATTAGCCCTGGAAGTTCTTGCCATATATATTAGGAAGAAAGAGAAATTAAGGACATTCATATTGGAAAGAAATCCATGTGTGATTATTTGCAGATAATATAATTAGAAAACCCTAAAGACTCTGGAAGCTGGAGTGATAATACAGTCGGTCGGGCACCTGTCTTACACTGGGCTGACCCAGGTTCAATTCCCCATACTGCATATGGTCCTTCAAGAGCCCCTCCAGGAATGATCACTGAGAAGAGTCAGGAGCACACCCTAAGTGTGGCCGGGTGTTCCCAAAAACAAAACTTTAAAAAAATAAAAATAGAACTCAATAAACTGTACAGCAACACAGAAGTGTACAAAATGGATATGTAGAAATCCTATGTGCAAACAATAAAAGAGGAGCGATATAATTTTTAATCCCTTTTATAATTGCACCTCAGAAAATCCAAGTACCTGGGAAGCCTAACAAAAGAAATAAAACTTAATAGTCAAAGCAATGGGGGGGGGAGGAAAAATACATGAGGCTATTATTATTATTAGTCAAAATGAATTAGAGACCTTGATGTTAAACTCGAATACACAAATTATGTTGAAGAAAATATAGGCAGAACCCTTCATACTGAACCTTCAACAACTCAATGCCATTGGCCAAGCGGTTGGAAAAAAAAAGATAAAACAAAAGAAATTTTATCAAATTAAGAAGTTTCTGTACCATTTAAGAAATGATCACCAAATTTAAAAGGAATGATGACTCCACAAAAGAGTGAGCACAACTACCCACCACTCATCTGACAAAAAGTTAATATCCAAGATATACAAAGCATTTGCAAAACTTAACAAGAAAAAAAAAAGTCAAACCCCATCCAAAAACGTGGAAAAGATATGGAAACATTCCCAAAGGAAACAGGGAGATGGCCATTATGTATATATCCCTTATCATCAGGAAAATGCAAATTAAAACAATGAAATATCTCCTCACAGCAGTGAGACTGGCACATACAAACAGAACAAAAACAACCAGTGTTGGCATGGATGTGGAGAAAACTGAATCCTCATTCACTATTGGTGGGAATGTCAACGATTTCAACACTTTTGGAAACTTCTCAAAAATTAAGACTTAAGGGCCAGAGTAATAGTAAGCGGGTAGGGCTTGCACATAGTTGACATGGGTTTGATACCTGGTATCTCTTCTGGTCCCTTGAGCTCCACCAGGAGTGATTCCTGAGTGCAGGGGCCAGGCATTGCCCCTGATCATCATCAGGTATAACCCAAAAACCAAATATAATAATAACAAACTAAGAACCTAATGAACCAACAATTCCATTTCTGGGTATCCACCAATAGCCAAAAAAGGTATTCTGAAAATACACTTGTACAGCAGCCAAAATCTGAAAACAACCTAAGTGTCGAAGAACAGATGACTGAATAAACAAATAATGGTATAAAGCCACAATGTAATACAATGGTAAGGCAATAAGGAAAGATAAAAACCTGCTATGTACTACTACATGGACAAAACCAGAGGATATTATGCTGATTGAAGTCAGCCAGGAAATGAACAGATACAGAATGATCTCTCTCATATATGGAATATAACGAAGCTGGTGTGGATGAAGGGAGAAAGGGACTCTCATGCATTGTTGGTGGGAATGCTGACCAGTCCAGTCTTTTTGGAAAATATGAGCATTCCTCAAAAAACTAGAAATTGAGTTTCCAGTGTACCCAGCAATACCACTCCAGGGAACATACCCTGGAGGCCCAAAAACACAACACAGAAAAATCATCTGCCCTTCTCTGTTTATTGCTATGCTATTCATAGTAGCCAGACTCTAGACACAACCCACATACCCAAGATCAGTGGATAAGGAAACTATGGTACACTACATAATGGAATACTACACAGCCACCAGAAATGGACATGAAGAGTATCATGCTGATTCAAATGAGCCAAAGGGAGGACAGACACAATTACACTCATTTGTGCAATTAAAACAAAAAAACAAAAAAAAAACAGTATGAGACTAACACCCAAGGACAGTTGAAACAAGGGCCAAGAGGACTAGTCCATGGCTGAGAATTTGCAAGTTGAGGTGGGGGGGAAGGAGAGGAGGAAGAGAAGAGGCAGGAGGAAGAAATGATCCCCCTGAGGGCTCAAAGTAGGTAAAGAGATATACATGATAACCTTTCAGTATTACAAACCCAAGGAGGGCGGGAATGTGTGTGTATGTATGTATGGGGGTGGGGGGGAGGACTTTCTGCTGAAGAAGTAGGGGCTGGTTGGCAAGGGGGGGACAACAGGGACAGGGATGGAATGGGTGTGGGCGGTTGGGAACCGGGGACATTGGTGGTGGGAAATGATGTACACTGATGAAGGGATGAGAGGTGGGACATGGCATGACTAAAACCCCATTTATGAACAACTTTGAAGCTGTACCTCAAGGTGATTCGATAAAGAAAGAAGCATAATAAAGGAATAATAAATGACCCAAAGCAACAGTCTGTGAGCTAATAAACAGAACTGAGCTTCCCATAACGGGGATGGGGTAAGTCTTGGGGTTGTTAAGCAGAGGGACCTTGAGACAATGGGGTGGGAAAACTGACACTCTGGTGGGGTTGTGTGGTACTGGAATGCTGCATATATAAACCCCATCACTGTACTGTAAAACACTGTGACTAATTCTTTTTTTAAATTGTCAATGTTAGAAATACAATTATACAGTAAGAATCATTACTGCTTACTAGGATCTGCTATTTTTAAAACTATTACATACCTTAATCACATTCTAAGGATGCAGTTTAAGAATTCATGCCAATTTTACCTTCCACTTCACTAATCCATCCATATCTATACCTATCTTCGCACAATCTTACTCTAACGGACCATCATTTTTCAAATCACTTAACTGAACTTTTACCAGTTAATCTAGGTCTAACCAAGGCTTCTGCATGTCTTTCAGTGACTTCAAACTTCTATTACCAGATAGTAAACATATCTAGTTCCTCATATTCACTATTTTTATTCTAAACACAATGACTTTATTTGAATTACTAAAATAAAATTTGTACTCCTCTCAACTTATCAGGTGCTTGGGGTTGTATATTGTTCTGGGTTTGGAGGCGAGATCTGTGGTATTCAGGACTTACTGGTATAGTGTCCAGGGTTCACGCCTGAGGTTGTTCAGGGGTTCAAATACAGTGTCAGGGATGGGGCTGGGGAAAGCTGTATGCAAGGCAAACGCCTGAACCTCTGTATTATCTCTTTGGTCTGGGTCTCCAAACCATAGCCTAGGACAGCCTTCCCTTCCCATTACCTACCATTTTATAAATCCAAGATCAATAAAACACAATTCAAAATTCATTCCCCTAGAAAAACTGTCCCCAAGATTTCTCCCATTTGGACCAGAAAGAGATACAAAGGGTAGGGGATTTGCCTTGCAAGCAACTAACCTGGGTTCGATCCCCGGCACCCAAATGGTTCCCGAGTACCACCAGGGGTGATTCCTGAGTTGAGCCAGCAGTAAACCCTGAGCACCGCCGGGTGTGGTCCCCAAATTAATAAACTATAAACCTAAACAGTCACCAGTAAATAATCTGAGTAACAAGAAGCGCCCATGCAGGGGTGGACTACTGCAGATCCCAAGCACACAGTAGTACACAATTCAACTGGTGAGAATTGCACAATAAATTGTATGTGGTAGAAACTTCCACATGCATCTCGCAAGAGTTAGCGAAAAGAATGCATAGCAGAGTAAGAATGGGAAGAGTTACAGAGAGACTTCCACGGTTTCCCTTCGTTTCTGTGGTGTTATGTATTCACGCAAGTTTTCTCAAACAGCGGGATCTTGCAGGCTGACGCTGACGGGGGGAGGCCGAACTCGGCTTGCAGAGTCCGAATTCGATCCAAAGCAAGGCGTTAGTAACAAACCACGACCACGCACACACTTCCTTAACGTCTTTCGCGCTTCAATGTTCTCATCTTGGAACGTGGAGCTAACCACCCAGTACGAAGAAGTCGGAGAGGAAGAGCGTGGCTCGGAAACAAACAAACGAACAAAAAAGGCATGGAACGCTCACGCCCGACTCCGTTAACTTCCAGCCAGTCTGGGATGAAGCAGGGTGGAAGTTTTACCGAAAGCAAAATGACTTAGCTGAAGTGCAAATGCAGAGAGAGAGAGAGAGAGAGAGAGAGAGAGAGAGAGAGAGAGAGAGAGAGAGAGAGAGAGAGAGAGAGAGAGAGAGAGAGAGAAAGAGAAGAGAGAGAGAGAGAGAGAGAGAGAGAGAGAGAAACACCGTTCAAGTTCAAGACCAGCAAGTGGGGCAAGCTGGGGTGGTGGGGGCGGGGTTGCTGGAAAAGGGAAGCTGGCGTCGGCGAGCCCCCCCCCCCCGCCCCCACCCCGCGCAGAATCAGAATCCGCTTCGGGTGGTTTCGGGGTGGTTCACGTGCATTTCTGCCCGGAGCTTTTGCACGAAGGGCGCGCGCACGCACCTGCTGGAGGGAGCCCGAGACACTGGAAGATGAGTCAGTGCTCCGCCGCTTCCGGCGCTCGCTGCGCTCCGCGCCGCTGCTCCCGCCCCAGCCACTGCCTCCGCTGCCGGCGCCGGGGACGCTGCCCGGGAGGCTCGCGTTCCCGCAGCAGCCCACGCTCCCGCAGCCGCTCGTGCTCCCGCAGCCGCTCGTGCTTCCGCTGCCGCTGCTGGCGAGCGTCGGGACCAGGTCCGGGGGCGCGAGCGCGGCGGACGCCTCTTGGCTGCTTCTTTTGCGCCGCTTCTCCCGAGAAGATTTCTTTCCCGTCATGGTCGCTCTGCTCCAACCATCCGGAGAGTCGAGGACGCCGGCCGAGCCGGGTGCGACCGAGAGCCCGCTGCGGCGCAGCACGGCGCGGCGCGACGGCGGCGGCGGCGCAGAGCTGACGTCACTTCCGACCGTCGCTGTCGGCGGGAGCCTCGTCGGGACCAATCGCGAGGCGAGGAAGTCAGCTGGAGTTGGGGCTTGCCCCGTCAGTTGTGTTTGCTCTGCGGGTTGTCGGCCTCTAGCCAGCACGCCGAGCGGGGCGTTGCAACCACTTTTTTGATCTTCTCAGTGCCATTTTTCGAAATTCAAGATAACAAGACTGGGTCCCGAGAGATAGGACAGCATGTAGGGCTCTTGCCTGGGATTCCCTGGAGTGACCCCGTGAGTGCAGAACCAGGAGTAAAAGCCCCAAAACGGGAAAATAAATGAATGAAGCCTACAAGACGGCAAAGGTGTGGTGTTTGGCTCTGAATTTGCATTTGTTTTCCAAGTTTTATGAGACTAATGTTATTACCATAAGGTTGTCTTTCAAAATTTATGAGACATGTTATTACCATAAGGTTTATGGGGATGGGTTTATCAGGGGCATAACCGTAGTATAAGTGAGGGAAGACCTGAGTTGTTTTTTTTTTTTTTTAGGGAGTACACAGTTTTCTTCCGAATCATTTGATGCAGCAGGGAGACTGAACTGTAGAGACGATATTGTCTGTTTAGGTAAAACCATATGATATTACTTTCTACAGGTCAAAACTGGTTAAATATTGACACGTTTCTCTATGCTTCAACTTGTAATATTAGAGAGCTTAAAAGTCCCAGCACTATAGTCTGAGCTTATAGTTCTGCATACAAGTGCATGATTGCAAATGCCCTTAAATTGATCTGAACAAGGTTTCTGTCACCTGCAGCCTAAAGTCTAAACTAATATCACGTGTAACATTCAATGATCTTAATGGAATTTTCCATGATCTTAATGGAATTTTATATTGAAACCTCATATCTTTACTAGAAATATACCATCTAAGACTGTTCAACAACCTCACCTCCTCTTACTGCATTTGAGATTCAACTTTCATGTGCTAAGTCACCAAGTTTTGGGGTGATTTGTTAAGGAGCAATAGGTTATATAGGATGGTTTTAGAAGTGTTTTACAGATGTAAAATGAGAAAAAAAAATTAACATTCTGGCCTGGCACAAACACTTTAAATTCAATGATAACTTCTTTTAGTTTTTGAGTCACACCCTCGGGCTCAGGTGTTACTCCTAGTGGAGTAACATGAAAGAACATGCTTCAAGAGCAACATCACTCATCACTTGAGGGCTGGAGCAATAGCACAGCGGGTAGGGCGTTTGCCTTGCACGCGGCTGACCCGGGTTTGATTCCCAGCAATCCCATATGGTCCCCCGAGCACCACCACGAGTAATTCCTGAGTGCAGAGCCAGGAGTAACCCCTGAGCATCACCGGGTGTGACCCAAAAAGCAAAAAATAAAATAAAATAAAATATGTCAACATCACTTCAAGATGGAATTCAGATCTCTCACTAGCAAATCATAACTCCAGCTCTTTGAGCTTTGTCTCCAGCTAAATATTTAAAAAGATGAAGCAACTATTCTAGATTAAGAAATCACAGAGGATTGGGGAGATAGCTTATTGGTAGAGCATATACCTACCTAGCATGTGTAAGACCCTGACTTGGCCTCCTGAGCATTACAGGGTATGGCATTGGCACCCCAAGGCACCATTGCATGACCCCTAACTATTGCCACGTGTAGTCCATTACACACACACACAAATAAAAGGAGTGGGGAAGGAACTGAGCGATAGTATAGCCAGAAGGTACTTGCCTTGCATGCAGCCGACCTGTGTTACATCCCTGGTACCACATATGGTAACCTGAACAATACAGATACAAGCTCTGAGCACTGCTAGGAGTGGTCCAAAAACAAAAGAGAGGGGGAAGAGGCAGGGACATGAGAGATAGCTCCACAGGCTGGAGGGCATGCTTTCCATGCAAGAGGACTGGGTTGAATCCTGGCACTGTATGAACCCCGGCACTGCCAGAGTAATCCCAGAACACTGCTAGGTAAGGTGCCCAAACAAAAAATTAATAAAAGAGATCATGGAAGCTATCACCAAATGACTAAAAAACCTTATTTATTTAGCTTCTTGGAAAATAATTAGGATTTCCTAATATACAATGAACTTCAGTTTTAAAAATTATTTGTTAGTAATGAAGCTTGTTCATATACTTGATTGATTATACTTGGTATTATGAAATTACTAATTCAAATGATACTTTAGTTATATATAAGAATATTTAAGTACTACATAAAATAATATTCTTTAAAATGTCTATTTTTAGAAGGTGCATATTGAAGTATTCAGTTGATTATTGTACATGCAAAGCTTTTGGGAGAGGCCACACCCTACATTGTTCAGGAGTTACTCCTGGTTCTGTGCTCATTACCCCTGGTGATCCTCAGGGGATCATATGGGATGCCCAGGACCAAACCCCAGTCAGCTGTGTGCAAGGAAGACACTCTGGCTGCTGTAATATCGCTCCAGTCCTGTGCACTGTAGCACTGTAGCACTGTCCTCCCATTGTTCATCGATCTGCTCGAGTGGACCCAGTAATGTCTCCGTTGTGAGACTTGCTGTTACTGTTTTTGGCATATCAAATATGCCACAGGGAGCTCGCCAGTCTCTGCCGTGTGGGTGGGATACTCTCGGTAGTTTGCCAGGCTCTTCCAGAGGGATCAAAGTGGTGGTGTGTGCCTGTACTCCCAGCTACTCAGGAGGCTGAGGCTGGAGGATCACTTGAGTCCAGGATTTCCAGGCTGTAGTGCCTATGCAAAGCTTTTAAAAATAATTTCAGCTCCGACCAGCCTAGTCTTCCCAAGAAACTGAGAGACTGGTTTCAGGATCCTCTTATTACTCAAGAATTGCCATTTCACCTCTCAGGCCAGGAACTCCCCCCTCTCGTGAAGCGTGTTGGTTCTAAGCAGTCACATATTTCTTGACTTATTCAATTTTCACCATGAGCATAAAACACCCTAATTCTAGTCGCCTAGCTACACAATAATAATAAACAAGAAACACCTCCAGCTGCAAAAGTCACAATGGGAAAGCAATGCCAAATACCACCACTCTTAGTGAAGACTGTAGCCCTGAAAACTCAATCAGATAGATAATCACTCTGAAAAGGAGTTCCTTCCTTCTCTCCTTCCTTCTGTTTTTTGGACCACACCCAGTGAGGCTCAGGAGTAATTCTTGGCTCTGCATTCAGGAATTATTCTAGTGCTCAGGGGACCATATGAGGGTTCCTGGGATGGAGACCCAGTCAGCTGTGTGCAAGGCAAACACCTTATCCACTGTACTATTGATCCAGTACCCTCTCTGATAAAGAAATGTTGAGGATGTTAAAGAGCTCAAAGAAACAATGGAATGAATGGACAGCCAATAAAACACATGAGAGTATGAGACCAGAAGTGAGAAAACTACAAACAGAAATGACAGAACTAGAGTTTAGTAGGTGAAATTTTTAAAAACTCACTGGAAGGCCTAAGCAGGAGAATAAGAGTGGAAGAGAAGAAGATCAGTGAGCTCCAAGATGAGATGCAGAAGACCTTCAGAAAACAGCGGAACAGAAGATAGAAAAAAAAAAGCCTCAAAAGAAACAAGCAGCAGACAAGCGAATTCTGAGATGAGTTCAAGAGAAACAATATAAGATTCACTGGAAATCCAGAAAAGCAGGAAGAAATTTTGATATAGAAGCAGTAGTTAAGGAAATTATTACAGAGAAGTTGCCAGTTGAAGAGCACAAGTACCCAGATTCAAGAGGCCTAAGGGTACCAGGTAAAAAAGACCCAAATAAAAAGATTCCAAGACACATCCTAATCAAAATAATGAAAGCCATAGAGATAGAATACTTAAAGCAGCATGACAAAGGAGATCACAAAGGAGTATTTTTAAGATTTACAGCAGATTTATCAAATCACATCCTGTGGGTCACAAAACATAGTTGGATATAGTAAAAACAAAAACAGCCCAAACCTTAATAAAATGAAAGTCTCACCAGGTATACTTTACCCAGCCAGACGTTCATTCAGATTTGAAGGAATGATATTCAACTCCACAGCTCAGGAACTTCATATACAAGGAAGGAAGGAAGGAAGGAAGGAAGGAAGGAAGGAAGGAAGGAAGGAATCATGTCAACTATATTCTCAGATTATGATGCACTGAAATTAGAAGTTAATCACAAACAGAAATAGAGAACTCAAATACCTGGAAAGTAAACAGCTTGCAGTTGATCAGTGGGTCAGAAAAAAAATCAGAGAGGAAATCAAAAGATTCCTGGAAAAAAAATGAGAACGAGAATACAAGCTACCAGAATTTGTGGGACCCAGCAAAATCGGTGTTAAGAGGAAAGTTTATAGCTATGCAAGCATTCATCAGAAAAAGAGGAACAGTCCACATAATAACTGCCCAGCTTAAGAAACTGGAAAATGACCAATGAGAGTCCAAAGCAGGCAGGAATAATTAAATAAATCTCAGAGCACAAAGTAATGAATTGAATAAAAAATCAAAAGATTCATAAAACATAAGAGCAGGTTTGTCGAAAGAAATGATGAATCACTAGTAAAAGTCACACAAAAAAGAGAGGGAGCCCTAATTAATGGAATTAGATATGAAAATAGAGATATCACAACAGATACCTCAGAAATCTAGAGGATCATGAGGGATTAGTTTGAAAATCTCTATGTCACTAAAGAGAACCTAGAAGAAATCGGTAAATTCTTGGACTCCCAAGGCTCAAACAAGACAATATGGAACAGCTAAACAGACCTGTCACTATTGAAGAAATTGAAATGCTACTCAAAAGTCTCCCCCAAAACAAAAGCCTGAGCCCAGATGGATTCATTAGTGAGTTCTTTAAGACCTTTAAAGAAGACTTAACTTTCAGGCACAGAAACACTCCCAGTTTCTGTGAAGCAGACATTAATTACCCTGATACCAAAAGCAGAAAGAAACACCACAGAAAAAGAATTATAGAATGGTATTCCTGCTGAACATAGAAGCA